ATAACAACTGGGTTGTATTTGCATTTTTTTAACTTCTTGTAGACACCAATCACTTTGGAGAAAATGCTTGTCCCTCTCCTTTTTCCAAATGCACAGGTTACTTTCTCACCAATTATTTGCATTTTTTGTGTAACCATTGCACAGGGCTCCATAATATGTTGGTTCTTCTTTAAATAATGCAATTGCAGTAACAAGAATAATGTTGGTTGTCAGTTTGTGTAAGATAAAGGAGAGCAGAGTTGGCTTGAAGAACTCAAAATAGTTTTATTCCGCACAAGTGACAAGTGACATTTTGGCTCAAACTAGCCTTTCTCTGGGCTAGATTAATGGCTTCATAAAGAATTCTGAAAAATGTGAAGGTGCTAGTTCAAATTGTGAGATAGACTTGATGTGAGTACCATTTACTTGCTGTTTGCTCAAGACCATATCAAGACCATCTAGATAGTCTTAAATATAATCTTAATTATCTTTTTTGTAAATACTCCATTAAAAACAACATAAATGTGTGACAACAATTTAGAGAAAGAAGTCACAAAAGTTATGCATTATTAGTTACCGCAATAAAATACAGTATCAAGATTTTTCAGAAACCCAAATCTCTAAGTAAATGAGAAAATGAAATGGGAATATCTTTTAACTTGAATAAATGAAGTAAAGCATTTCTGCAGGTAGAGAAGGCCACACATTGTCTAACCTTGCATGAAACATTTTTTTAAAGATCATGCATAATTGGTACTTAACTTTAGATAGAATTAAATAATGTAAAAGAAAGTGTCCCAACACTTGTTGGAGGGGCTTAAAACATGAGGGCACGATTTATCACATGTGGTGGGTGTGCGAAGGTCTTTCAGAACCTAAGAAGATTATCTCTAAAATATCTTCAATATTATGCACAAAACAAATTAAACTATCACATCAATTATTTTTAATTCATTTAGATTTCCCCCATTGTACATTAGAGCACAAATTTTCTTTGAATTCCTATTTTGATAGCAACAAAATTAACTATTGCCAGTAATTGGAAAATCACCTTTTCATCAATCCGGCCAAAATTTGAAATCAGTTAGAACATCAAAGACAGATGGACGAGGGTTTCTATAAGAATAATGTTTTTGCTTATAAATATCAATAAATTTGGAGAGATTGGTCTAAACTAGAGTCGTTTAACTGCCTTATTTTTGTGTATTTTCGTGTTATTTTGTGTAACTGCCTGAGCATTTGCATCACAATACCTTGCTACATTCAATAATCCTTTGACAGACTATTCCTCAATTGGTCCTACTTTCTTCCCCTTTACGGATATTTTATTAGTAGTAGTAGTATTATTGGTATTTATATAGCGCCAACAGATTCCACAATTCTGTTATCATTATAACAGTTCCAATTGCCACATATATTATTTATGTAATCACAATATTTGGTATGAATGTTTGGGTTGAATGTAGATAGGTAGACTTACTTATATGATCTTCTATGAAGCTCATATGAATTATGTTCAATGTAAGTTCATTCTTGTTAGACTTATGTAACTGTATCATATTTGTCCTACACATGTTTTATATCACAATTTTTTAAAAAATGATGCATTATTTTATTAACAAAGAAGGCATGTAAAATATTCAATGCCTTAATATATATATATATATATATATATTGTAGAAGAGATAGGAAATAGGTGACATGACAAAACCTTCCATTGTATTAAAGGGAGTTGTTTTCCTGGCACTATAGCTCTCTATAGTGCCCACCACCCATGTGACATCATCCCCCCAAGGTACAGAGGGGTTAAAAAAACCTAATGTCTTTTACCCGATTCCTGATACCTGAAGATGGACATCGGCGCTGGTTCAGGCTCATCCTCTGATCCTGCCCCGCCGACATCGGCGTTGTCATTAGGACTTCCCCCATAGGAAAGCATTGCATATAGAGTTTGGGGTAACTGTGGATGTCCTCATGCATAGCATGAGGATGTCCAGCATCAGTTAGGCGACCAAAAGTCGCCTAACCACCCAGAAGTCCATCTAGAGGTGGAATTAACCCTCCAAGGCAATTATTGCAGTTTCCCAGAAACTGCAATAATTATTATTGCTGTGTTAAGAGACCTAGGACGCTGCACCCAGACCACTTCAATGAGCTGAAGTGATCATCTAAAAACACATGGATTTCAAGATCAGAGACAACATGGGTTTACTTCATGGAGATCATGCCAAACTAATCTTATTGATTTTTTTGATTGGGTAACTAAAATTATAGATCAGGGTGGTGCAGTAGACATTGCTTACCTAGATTTCAGTAAGGCTTTTGACACTGTTGCACATAGAAGGCTTATCAATAAACTGCAATCTTTAAGTTTGGATTCCAATATTGTTGAATGGGTCAGGCAGTGGCTGAGTGACAAGCAACAGAGGATTGTAGTCAATGGAGTATATTCGAAGCCTGGGCTTGTCACCAGTGGGGTACCTCAGGGATACTTGGATCCATTCTCTTTAATATTTTTTATTAGTGATATTGCAGAAGGTCTTGATGGTAAGGTATTTCTTTTTGCTGATGATACTAAGATATGTAACAGGGTTGATGTTCCAGGAGGGATAAGCCAAATGGCAAATGATTTAGGTAAACTAGAAAAATGGTCAGAGTTGTGGCAACTAACATTTAATGTGGATAAGTGCAAGATAATGCATCTTGGACGTAAAAACCCAAGGGCAGAGTACAGAATATTTGATAGAGTCCTAACCTCAACATATGAGGAAAGGGATTTAGGGGTGATTATTTCTGATGACTTAAAGGTAGGCAGACAATGTAATAGAGCAGCAGGAAATGCTAGCAGAATGCTTGGTTGTATAGGGAGAGGTATTAGCAGTAGAAAGAGGGAAGTGCTCATGCCATTGTACAGAACACTGGTAAGACCTCACTTGGAGTATTGTACGCAGTACTGGAGACCGTATCTTCAGAAGGATATTGATACTTTAGAGAGAGTTCAGAGAAGGGCTACTAAACTGGTTCATGGATTGCAGGATAAAACTTACTAGGAAAGGTTAAAGGATCTTAACATGTATAGCTTGGAGGAAAGACGAGACAGGGGGGATATGATAGAAACATTTAAATACATAAAGGGAATCAACACAGTAAAGGAGGAGCCTATATTTAAAAGAAGAAAAACTACCACAACAAGAGGACATAGTCTTAAATTAGAGGGACAAAGGTTTAAAAATAATATCAGGAAGTATTACTTTACTGAGAGGGTAGTGGATGCAAGGAATAGCCTTCCAGCTGAAGTGGTAGAGGTTAACACAGTAAAGGAGTTTAAGCATGCGTGGGATAGGCATAAGGCTATCCTAACTATAAGATAAGGCCAGGGACTAATGAAAGTATTTAGAAAATTGGGCAGACTAGATGGGCCGAATGGTTCTTATCTGCCGTCACATTCTATGTTTCTATGTTTCTATCTGGGTGCCTATAGTGTCCCTTTAAAGGAGGGATGTCACACCTCAACAGCCTGGCAACAATAATTGGGTTTTACAGTATAACAACATCTGGTAGGAGATACCATCAGATATCCATATATCAAATGATTAAATAAAGTTCAAGAGGGTAGCATGTTTGAAAATAGACTTTCTAAAAGTGTAGTAGACACATGCAAGAGGCTCCCAGAGAAAGCAGTGAAGGTTCCAAGCTTGATTGACTTCAAACATGCTTGGGCTTTGCATTAAGCTATCCTCAAGAACAAATATTTAAAATGAGTGAATTGTGTAATTATATACAGATTATATATACTTATATAAACTCTAATCTCACCATTTACGTTTTTATTTTTTGTCATATAAAATACCTTGACAACACACAGACAGCACTTTGCGTTTTTATATTTTGGGAAAATTCGAACCTGTGTGGAAGAAATGTTTGGTACTTAAAAATGATTGTGGGATAAACACTTGTCAGGAGATCAACTAGTAGGAGGGAATGAAAAGCCTTAACATGTCAGTCACATTAAAGCAATCATGCTATTGGGGAAACAGTCCATTTAATTTACGCTATTGAAAAAATACATAATAAACAAGATTGCAATCTAAAAAAAAATATGTAAATATGTCTTTGAATATTTATAAGCCATGGAGGGAGGGAGGACTTTAACTACAGGAGACCCTGTAGAGTGATCAGTGTCGCCAGCCTCCATTAAACTGTGATTAATTAAGCCTGAGATATGCATATGCTAATTAATTAGACTGCAATGTTTATAAAGTTTGCAAGTGCTGTTGATTATTTAGCAAATCAGTGTCACATAAACCAAAGTTTCCAGCTCTCAGAACCTGTCAAACCTGTACCGAAGGAATTAAACACAATTTTGTAGTCACTGTTGTCAGTTGGACATATTTTTGGAATCCTTTGGTTTCTGTGTGCAAATGTTCATACAGTTAGTTCTATCTGAGAATGATTGCTCCTGATTACTGACCTGTAACCTCCCTTAGCTCCATGTCAGCATCCAGACCCCAACCTGCTTTTATTGTAAGCACGCCCTTTAAAATTATTTTCCCTTCCCATAATGCTGGTGCCCAGACCCCTGTCCTCACTGTTCCTTTTGTCGCAGTTCCCTCCCCTGTGAGTTGTTTTATTTATTTTTTTTAAAAAACACTGCACCTTTTATTTACATTCTCTTTGTGATTTTCCACTCCCTGTACCCTCTCATTACACATAGCCTAGCACACAGTAGCCTTTTTACCCTTCATGCCAGTTTGCTGCATCATACCCGCTTTAGCCTTAATGCAAGGCCTCTACACCGGGGATATGCAAGCTTCAGCCCTCCATATGTTTTTAACTACTTCTCCCATGATTCTTTGCCAGGATTATGGCTGTAAGAGCTTTATGGGAGATGTAGTCTACGACATCTGTAGTGCCGAAGGTTTCCTACCCCTGCTCTGTACCATACTTGCTTTACCCCTCATGCCAGTTCTCTGTACTGTACTGTCTTTACCCTTTAAGTCCCGCTCATACCCAAGTCCAGTGGTTTCCAACCCAGTCCTCATGGACCACCAACAGTCCAGGTTTTGTCCTAGATTTATTATATTAAAAAAGGGAAATAATAAATCTAGGACTGTTGGTGGTCCATGAGGACTGGGTTGGGGAGAACTGCCCTAGTCTGTACTGTACTTTACCCTCCACTCTTCCCTACTTTCCTTGTATGTCAGTACCTGTATACTAACATGTTTGTATGTCAGTAACCGATCCTGTACCCTCTTTTCTCTTTATACCATATTTATTCACTCCTCTTCCCTATACAATATAATATTTTTTTCAAACAGCTTGCAGCACTAAACTATGCGAATCCCTTTAAAAAATACCAGAGTGTATAAAAAGAAACATAATATCCAGTGGCCGAACAAAAGTAGAGAGGGCCCTGGTTCAAGAATTGTTATCTTTATCGCCATCCTGTACTCTGTAAGATGTGAGACATGATGACAATCCTGTCCTTTCCTCGAAGACATTAACCTGCCCAGTCCTATTATTTGTTTATGCCAGCCCTCTGCACACTATGCCCCCTTAGACCACTTCTTTGCCCTGTAACCTCTTCTATTTATGCCAGCTTGTTACCTGCATTCTTTTCTAATATGATAGTCATCTATTGTAATATAACAGTTAGGGTGACTTACTACTTCGGTTGATTATAATCTTCACTTACCCAAGTATCAGAATCTAAGTCAAAACCTTCCACTTTCTCCTGAAGTCAGACTTTTTGCCCATCCTGATATTCTTGGTGGAAAATGGGGTTTAAAGTATGCAAGTGTAGAGCCACTGGGTTACGTCACGTAATCTAACTGGACAACAAACTCTTGTTTACTGTAGAACTCTACTTGAAACAAAGTCACTCACATTTCAGTGAGCTCTACAGCTGAATTTTGTATGAGTTAAAGGATTGTTCAAAGCACAACGACCACCTGAGTATTTTGAAGCAGTCGTGGTGTAAGGGGCCTGTGTATGAAACTCTGCACATACTGAGATATATCATGTTGCTGATGGGGGGAGTAGCTGGATCCCCGACAGCTTATATTAGCCATCCGTAACGTACAGAGATTCATTCATGCATTAGAGTGCTCATCTCACGCTCTCCACCAATGAATGAACTGCAATGTTTGCATTGGTCTTTTGCAGCTCTGCAGAAGTTGGATGCAGCAAAGCTGCCATTCTGCGATAGGAGATGCAGTCTCATTAGTGCCAGACAAGACTCAGATAAATGACAAAACACTGTAAAATAATGTGACTCTATACAGGGTAATGGCATTAGAGAACTCTTGGCATCACAACTACTACAGCGTGTTGTAGTAGTTGCGATGGCTGTAATAATTATTTAATAAATTAAAAATCACAGCCAATGAGTCTTCTGATTAACTGCTCTTTTCCAAATAAATCCTACTTTTTTCTTTTTATTTTAATGGTGGGTTTATTTCTTAATTGCAACTATGCATAATGGCTGTACGGTATAATTTGATTTTAGTTGTGTCTCAGATCTGAAAATACCTTTTAACAGCACCAAGCACACGTCCCACTGGTAACAGCAATAAAACCGAGGAGAGTACAGAACATATTGGTTCTTGTGACCTAGGTGTCGCCCACCCTTTAAACTTTATTTCCCTAAGGGTGCTTTTGTCTAATCTTCCATTTACAATTAAGTGTCGCACAGGCTGAGTCTGCAAGTGAAATATTTATGTGTTCGCTGGCCATTCACTGCTGGAGACTTGCTGATCTATGTTTCACAAGTTCAATCTACAGTTATTTCTAGTGAAAGTTACAAAAAAAAAAAGACAGAAAGCGAGACTCGAGGCTTTAAACAAAGTACAATCATTATTTTATATCCGTGTAATTATTGCCATATTATTGAACTGATGATGATGATGAAGAGGGAAATGCAATGCAGATAATGATCTTATCTCACTTTTCCAGACTGTGCTTATCATCCCTTTATTTATTTAATAGCACTGTATTAACAATCACGCTCTGTGATGTGTGTACATCACTGGGATGTCGACACAGTTTTCTAAAAGGCAAACATTATTTACAATCGAGAGGTAGGTTTTAAAGAGCATTTCAAATACTCCCGTACCCTTGGAATATTACAATATTTTGTGTCATTGTGAGTTTTTTATATTTTATATTGAAGTTAGGACTTTAACCCCTTAAGGACCAAACTTCTGGAATAAAATGGAATCATGACATGTCACACATGTCATGTGTCCTTAAGGGGTTAAATAAGAAATAATGAGATATGGATTCATCATACTCTATTTAAATGATGTAGCCTGCCATTGATTTTTCTATATACAATGTCATCTCATATATCAGTATACACACTATAAACCTTTTTAATCCTATTTTTCACTGTACATTCTATATGTAATTTCACAAACTTTCCCTCTAATAATCTATGCACAGTTTCACTTGATTTATCATTTTTTGTCATACATAATTTAACCCCATATACCTTTATGGACCCCAAATGCCTTTATTCACACTACAGGGTACAATTTTTAAACAATTGCATTTACTAAACATTACCTTTCTGACTAGTACCCTACATTTAGATTATGCCGCCTCTACAACAGGTTTATTTTATACAGTATTTCACCTCCATGAAAAAGGGTTCGGTAAATCAATCATTACAAGTTATATGGCTCCCAAAGTACACAAAAATACCTTTGGAGCTTTCTACCAGTATCTGTATGCACCTCTTAATGCACAACTAATCCTAAATTACATTCTGCTTCCTAGGATAATTTAGCAATCTCACTTTTATATTTACATTTTGGTTTTCCTAAACCAGCATTCAAAAGAATCAACTAATGAATTGTGCATTATTTATTTATCATAATCCAGACATTTTGACAATTATCACAATAAGAAGGCTATTCAATAAACTGTAAATGTACATGGAAATTTAAACCAAAATCAACTCAAAGTATTTCTACTATTTGTCCTACTCAGTTAATTTGGCCCAAATGATGCCACTCCCTTACCAGTTTGCCAAAATTCACTGTTCAAACTCCAAAGCATTACATTTATTTAACGTGGTTGTCCAGAGTAAAGACCAAATATAACAAGTTCAAATGACCATGAGATAGGCTGAAATCTCAAGAGATCTAATACATTCTATTGCTTCCAATGTTTTTACAAGATATTAACAACGGAACAAACTGCTGTATAATTACAGAGTGTGTAGGTATATTTGTTTTGTCCCATGTGATATATTGGATGATAATGAACTATGCGACTGCACTATTGCATTGCCCCACTTTTTATGTGGGTAAATAATAAAAGCACAAAACTGTGATATTTAATAAAGAATTATTAATTGTTATACAATATTTTTTTAAATAACAATTTGTTTTGTTTTTTTTTACGGAGAGTTGTGTTTTGTCCAGACTATGGGGATGTTAATGAAATATTAAATTCTGTCTTGTAAAAACTATTAAAAGATATGTGAGTCGGCTTAATCTGCCAACCCAGTTAAATTGAAATTGTAACCAGTTTGTAAACCCAGTTATTTTAACTGACATTATACAAGCTGGTTATCAGTTCTATACTGAGTTAATTTCTGAGAGATTTTTGTACTTTGTATCGTTTACGTACTGTCATCTCCTTGATAGAGTAATCCAATGTTCCACAACAGAATACTTGGAGGGCCACTACTTACGGTGAACACGACTAAGAGGGGTAATATAGCAACTCCTCCTTTACTGTTTTGAACTACAACACCCATGATTCTTTGAATTAAAACAGTTGTACTCATGGGAATTGTAGTTCAAAATTTATGGGGGAATGCAGGTTGTGCAGGCCAGGTCTAGACCATATATAGCCAGTTTTCGATAATTATAAGTCACCAACAGGCATATGCCAACAGTGCCTGACAAAATAAAACTCTCAGAAAACCTAATAACCTAATAAAATATCAAATAAATAAACCTAATAACATATTCCACAGCTTATAAAAAAACCAGGGAAGTGTGTAAGGTGCTTCAAGAGGTGAATAGGTGTCAAAACTAGTATATGACGTGCTTTCCCCAAACACTTAATAGGACATCAATAAAGAAGAAATATATATACCAGTAAGGAGAAAACCTTATGACACAAAAATGAAAATAAATACAAATGTATATATTCTAAATATAACTATTACAGGGCACCTAAAAACAGAAATTACACAACATGGTGTGAACTGTTTAAAAGTATAGAATAAATTAGATGGGGTAGGAGTTCCATTCACATGAGCTGTCCCAGGCTCTGTATTATGCGCTCAAGGGTGCCACCAAGGGCTATACAATCCAATTCCCCAAGATTTCCAAAGAACTTTAACTTTATATTTCTCCCTTTTCTTTTGCTAAATAAGGAATATAGTATGTAATGTGTTGTTGTTCCTTTATTAAATGGAATTACCCTTTTTATCCATTGATTTGCAATGGACTCCCATAATTAACATAGAGGTTTGAGACATTGAAAAATGTTTAAGCAAAGACTATGATCGCTGGAGGGGAGATCAGGAGATCGAGCTATATGATGTCATAAAGAGGGACTTTGGACGTTGTGTTTCAACGTACGTTCCACGAGCCCATGACGTCATCAGGATTGGCCGGAAATGACGTCGCGGCGGATTGTGAATAGAGGAAATAGGAAACAGATTAAACAAATGAACTGTAGATGGACACCACTATAAAATGATGGAAGAATACAGAAATATCAGCACTGGAAGAATGCTACATTTGCTGTTCATGCACTTTATATTTATTTTTGTTTGGGTTACTAATAGGTGGTAAGTGTAACCATTTGTGTATTTTATTTACCTCACTACCATTTTATTTCTAGTACCCAATTTTAAGTATATTGTTTGCCTGTTTTAATACTCAATAAATTGTATTTGGAAAATACTGAGGATCCATCATACAGTTCTTTGGAAATCTTGGGGAATTGGATCGTATAGCCCTTGGCGGCACCCTAGAGCGCATAATACAGAGCCTGGGATGGCTCTGAGTCATTTGAGTGGAACTTCTACCCCAGAAGGTTTCCTGTGATAGTCATATTAAGTATATATGTTTGTATTTATTTTCTTTTTTGTGTCATAAGGTTTTCTCCTAACTAGTA